GCCTTATAAGGGAAAGCTGGCCCCCGCCCCGGCGTCGGGCCGATTCGGGGACCCGGGAGCCGCTTCCGGCCTGGGCTCCCGCACATTCCTGCGGCCGGGCGGGGACGGGAACTGGATGGGGGCACCTAAGGACGCCGTGGTCTCGGGTTCGAGCTCGGACTCCTTCACTCACTCACTAGCAGGGAAGCCTGGGGGAGCTGCTTGCAATCTGTGAACCTCGGTTTCCTCCCCGTGGCGGAGGCTATGAGAGCAGCCGGGCCCTGCTGATGTAGCTCAATGGGTAGAGCGTCACCCTGCAGACTGAAGGGTCCCGGTTCGATTCTGGTCTAGGGCATGAATCCTCAGCCCCAGTTGGGGAGCGTGGGGGAGGCAGCCAATCCAGGTGTCTCTCTCTCCCTCCCCGCCTTTCCACTCTCTCTAAGAAAAAAAAAAAAATCAATGGAAAAATGCCCTCCGGTGAGGGTTAACCAAAAAATAGCCGGTATCGCGGTATTTCCCGTCTGCCTCCCCCTGGGCGCCTAGTGCGGGGCTGGGGGCGGGGCGTGAGGCTGGATGGGGGCGTGGCCTTGGGAGGATCGGCGGTTCGAGAGTCTGCGGGCCTCCAGCGCCCCCTGGCGAGGCATCGCGCTCCACTGCCAGCGGGTCCCCCAGATGGGAATGAAGGAAGGCTCAATGCAGTGGGTCTCCCCCCTTGTGCTAGTGGGGAGACGCCAGGGCCTGTGGGGTGCCCCCAGCAGCGAGGGCAGAAAGTACCCAGAGGCCCGCCCCCTCCCCAGGAGGAAGCGCCCTCCTTCCTCCCCGGAGAATTTCACGGGGCAGGTTCGGAAACGCCCCATCCCTTTCCCCTTCCCCCTGGTGGACAATGGCGCTTTGTACTTCCTTCCCTCCCTCCCACGCCCCCTCCACACGCAGCAGAGGGGCCAGCGGGCCCCCAGTGCAGGACACACAGCAGGGACACTGTGGGCGGATCTTGGCCTCCAGACCCAAAGGAAGGGTCATGTTGGAGGGTGGCCAGTGGAATGAAGTTGTTCATCCCCCAGCCCTGCCCTACCCACTTGTGGGGGTGGGGGGGCTCAAACGGAGGCCCCCGTTTTCCAGATGAGGACACTGAAGTTCCCAGGTGTTGCAGAGGTGGCCAAGTTTGGGCTTTTTTTCAGAGACAAGGACCCCACCTCTGGAGGTCAGGGCTTTGGGAAGGGTGACCCAGCAGACAAAGGGCTAGTCATTGCATCTAAGCTTGCTTACCTCCGCATTGGGGGGGCCGGGTCCGCTCTTTTCTGGCCCCCACCTCCAAGTGTACCCCAGAGGCTCTGTGCCTGAGGCAAGGCCAGGACTGGGAGGTGGGAAGGTGAGCTTCATTCTCCCTCCCTCTGCTATAATAGCCCCCTCCCCCTTAGACCTGTTACAGGCATCTCTAGTCCAGGCTAGAAGGGAACCCCCAACACAGTGTCAAGGCCCTCAAGGTACCCCCCGTGGCAGACAGACCCCAGCAACAGACCTATCCTCAGCCCAGGGCAGACCCTGGAGTCAGAGAGACCTGGATTCAAATCCTGGCTCAGATCATTTGACCATAAGCAAGTTGCTTCTCTTCCCGGAGCCTCAGTTTTCCCATCTGTCAAAGGGGAGTAATAAAGTGTCAGGGTTTCTGTGAGTTTAGGACAAGTAAGCGGCTCAGCACAGGATCCGGCATACAGATTCTTCATAAATATTCCTGATACCTGGGTGTCTTGTACTCATTTGCCCTCAGTTCTCCCTCCTCCTGAGTGTCTGGGGGGTAATGCTCACTGCAGCCGAAGCTGTGGCAGGTGCGGGGGTGGGGAGACTCGCTGTCCCCATTCCCACCCACCGCCCTGAGTGGGAGGCATTGTTCCATCGGGCACATGAGAAAACCAAGACACAGAGGTTAAGGACATGCCCCTGACCACCACGCCAGGACCAGACTGCTAGAGTCCGCTGGGAATTCCGGCCCGACCCTGACCCCCCACAATTCCCAGGAATGTGGAACCTGAAGGAACCCGAAGTGACTTTGTCCCCGGGTTTCCCCTGCTCTGTTCAGATTGGGACAAGTGAGCTCATGGCTCAGTTGGGCCAGCCCACACTCCCTGCTGAAACCTACCCCCACACCCCATCTGGCTCCCCCATGGAGCAGGAAGGCATGATCAGGGAGGAGGCTAGAAAGAAAGGAGGGTAGAGGGCCCTACTCCTAAGGCAGTGATGGCGAACCTTCTGAGCTCGGCGTGCCAGCATTTTGAAAAACCCTAACTTAACTCTGGTGCCGTGTCACATATAGAAATGTTTTGATATTTGCAGCCATAGTAAAACAAAGACTTCTATTTTTGATATTTATTTTATATATTTAAATGCCGTTTCACAAAGAAAAATCAACCAAAAAAATGAGTTCACATGTCACCTCTGACACACGTGTCATAGGATCGCCATCACTGTCCTAGGTGATTTGGGGGGGTGGAGGCAGAGGAAATCACCTGGACTATACTTGTTCCCATTTGGCTCAGACCCACACTGGAGGCTTATCTCTGCCATTATCTCCCTGGGGGCCCTGGGGCAAGCACCGTGGGGGGCGGGGGGAGGCCACACGATTGGCTGACTCTCCCCAGAGAAGGGAAGGTGCCCTTTCCTAGACCTGGTTAGACCAGCCACCCCAACTTCCCAGGGACTGAGGGGGTCAGGAGCCTGTGGGAGCACCTGTCCTCCATGGACACCCTGGGTGAACCCTAGTGCATGCACTGGGGGGTTGGCCCTCCCACTCTGGGCCCTTTCACCCCTTCAATGGTGGTGAGGCCTAGCCAGTGCAGGGAAAACAATAGCCCCTGCCTCAGTTTCCCCATCTGTCCAATGTAGGTGAGGCTGCCACCCCCAGCAGGACTGTGGTACTTTGGGGCTAGACAATGGGAGTTTCTCTTGCTCAGCTGCCTGAATCAACCTTTCTTCCCCAGGGACACTGTTAGGGGCCCAGAGGATGGCCCCCCTCTTCCTCCTCCTCCTCCCATAAGTCCCTGGCTCTCAGGGGTTTGATGAGTGGCTCTGAGAGGCAGGAGTTAAAGGAAGGCATGCCTGGCTTAGCACCTGGCCCAGGTGGCCAATTGCTGGCTGCCCACTCTGTGAATCATGGCGCGCTGTCCAAAAGCCCAGGCTTCGTAAGCTGGGCCTCCCCCAGACCTGCTGGGTGGGTGGGCGAGCGGGCACGTGACAGGCCTGGGGCAGAGGGTGTGGAGACAGATCACTCATTGTGCCACAGGCCAAGCCGTGGGAGGCTGGTGCCCGCCCTCCGCCCCTGGCAGCCAAAATGACCTGCCCCTCGCCCCCGCCTGCCCTACAGTTGGAGGTCACCGTGGATCTGGCAGAGCGGCGGCGCATCCGCTCGGCCATCCGGGAGCTGCAGCGGCAGGAGCTAGAGCGAGAGGAGGAGGCCCTGGCATCCAAACGCTTCCGTGTCGAGCGGCAGGACAACAAGGAGAACTGGCTGCAGTGAGTGTTGGGGGAGGGGGGGTGTGGACATGCAGGTGCGGGGAGCCTGTGCCAGGGCTCAGCTCAGGTGGTGCAGGCAGGCACATGGGTGTGCACATGGCAGTACAGGCGGAATACACAGGGATGTTTGTGGGCATGGACCACATGCCAGTCATGGTGTCCCGGCCACGCCCATGTGGCCAGCATGTCTGAGTGTGTGACATTAGTGCTCGCATCCACGGGCATGCATGCACCTGCATGTAGCCAAAGGGTTTTCATAGCTCCATGCCCCTCTGCCAAGGTTCTGGGTACCTGTCCTGGTCCCTGCCCTCAGCCCACATCCTCCATGACCTGGCCATGGCAGTGGGAGTGACGGGCCTCCTATCCCTGCAGCTCTCAGCAGCGAGAGGCCGAGCAGCGGGCTGCTCTGGCACAGCTGGCAGGGCGGCTGGAATCCATGAACGATGTGGAGGAGCTGACCGTGCTGGTGAGGCCCAGGCCAGGGCAGGGGCTGGGGGCAGGGCAGGGGAAGCCCTGGCCTCCGTGGCCCAATCCCTGTGGCCCGCCTCTCGCCCACAGCTGCGAGGGGCCGGCGAGTATGAGGAACGCAAGCTGATCCGGGCTGCCATCCGC